GTTGGTTGGTTGGTTGGTTGGTTGGTTGGTTGGTTGGTTGGTTGGTTGGTTGGTTGGTTGGATGATTGGTAATTTAAAGGGAATTTAGGGCTTTATTATAAACAGCTTGGTTCGGCTGTCATGGTTCAATGCTTATTTGACTTAATAAATCATAAACTGCTTGTCATGTGTTGTACAAAGCAGTACAGATGCAAAAGAACATAGCAACCCAGTCAGTTGTGCAAACATAAATATTGTCATTCTAAGGAATGACTGAGATCGAATAACTCAGTAGATTAATCCAATTTATGATAAAGACTGAAGACAGTATATGGTATGATACTAGAAAGAGATGGAATAAATTCAAAGATAGAAATGCAAATTGTACAGTAAAGTGCAGCAGAACTGAACTAGCCATGCAAACGTATACCACACGTATGTCTGTATGTATATAATATGTATATGTTGTACATATACATAGTAACATTCATAAAACATTTGACTTGTGAAAAATAAACCAATCGGTTTGAGAACAGATTGCAGAGGATGATATTGAAAATGAAACTGTCCAAAAACAGCCCACTTGTAACACAATTTATATCATCAGTGATTGCTGGTATTTTCAGATGTCTCACGAATGTCTCATAGTATCTTTCTGCAAATCCACTGTGAGGCAGTCCCTTTTTGTCCCTGATAAATTACGAATGCAAATCCACTGTGAGGCAGTCCCTTTTTGTCCCTGATAAATTACGAATGCGATAGATATTCCTAAATGCTACAAAACATGATCTAAGTTTGTTTTTCAAACTATAAAAATGCTGAACATGAAAGCTATTTTTGTATGCATGAATTCACAAAACTAATTTTCCATTATACCTTTTAACCAGAGTTTAACCTGCTGCTACAGCAAAAGAAATAAAAAAGAACAATRGTAACTGCACAAACAAACTGAGAAAAACTTTTCTAACAAGTGGTTAAATAAAGAAGTAACACCTCTCATGAATGTTCCAATTCCCACAGGTTTACATCTCAAGTGCATATTACTGACAAAAGACTTAAAGCTTTTTAAGCACTTTAATGTAACTAAAGTACAATACCAACAAATACATAAAACTTAAAACACAATTTGTTTTTTTGCCTGCTGTCATGGTTGTAGAGTGCAGGACCTCAGGTTGCAGAACATCACAAAACAAAACTAACTTCACTGTAACAAAATACAATAGACCTAATGAAGGGTGGCAACACAGAGGAAAACTACAGACATGACATGAGCAATGCTCATTGCACCACTAAGGAGTGAACGGCAGCTGAACAATGGTATGGATTGGAGCTGATGAGGAGATGGGACCTCAACTCCTCATATAACTCACCAATAAAACCAAAGTTATGGGCGACAAAGTCAATGTTCAACCCTGAAATGCTCTTCCACGTAGTTTAACTGAAAGTCAAACCTTTATTTCAAGTGTGATTTTATGCATCAGGGTGAGACTTTGTGCTCAATATTTAAACACACAACCAGCTGACATTGTCCTCAAGGCCAAAGATAATTTAGTGGCCAAAAAAAAAACTGCCCGAGGCCTCAAGACTCTGACCCCTGCGTCCCTAAAGCCACAGATTATCTGAAAATATCAGCGGAATGTCGACCAAAGCCAAGAATATACACAGATCGTAATATATTCCAATGAATCTCCAAAGAAACAAACCAGATGAAGGACGATTTATGATGGGGAACAGAATCTGCTCGGGATGTTTTGGATTAAATCGTTCAGGATTTAAAAGTTGTGAAAGATTTGGTATCTCCTGTTAAAACTCTTTAGAGAACAGATTAAAAAAAGCAAATCTGTATAACAAAAAGGGTTTTCTTGCTATTGTATATAGTGGAAACGTAAAACCCACACTGCCTGCAGATAGAAAGTCTTATTTCTCCCCCGTTCCCCATTGGCCGTCTGGGGATGGGGTCCTGGNTCAAATAGTAGCTCCAACTAAAAACATTCATGTTTGAGTGTTAACTATACGAGAGAAGAAATGTGATAAATTACCGATCAGAGTGGGTAAAAAAGAAAATAAGAGAGAAACTAATTGTCTTGGAATAAATGTGCTGGAGTTTTAGAGCCTCATGGTGTATGAGGAATAAAAGTCTTTAAAATGTACAGATAATTTGTTTATTTTAATCTTGCATGTAGCTTCAATGCATCACGTAAAAACTTAATGTTGTTTTTTTTTTAGTTTTTTTAGATACCTTAGTTCCTCAGCGATGTYTCGATTTAGGCCTTTGCCCCTACACTTCCTTATTTTGGGTAATTTCACTTCTTCTTTCTTAATTTTTTTCTTTGAACTCATAAACAGCAACTGAGTTACTGTGTATAAATTTCTTTTATCATCTTTTCCCCTCTTCACAGCTTATGTTTTCTGGACAGCTGAGACTTGGCACGTAAACCTGCCAAGCAATATAAAAGCCTTGCAGGGTTCCTGCGTCTACATCCCTTGYAGTTTCGACTACTATAGKRATCCACCTCRYAGMCCAAACCRTGTTGTTTGGTACAAGTGGGTGAACCGCGGATACCCTTTGGTTTATGACAACTGGCACARAAGTRAGGTCATGGRCGAGTACAGAACAAGAACAGAYGTGTCTACAGGCAACAGGAGATGCGGTCTCTACATCWAYCCAGTGAAMTGGTTTGACCACAGACAGAAACTTTATCCTTGGGTAGATCCGGAGAACGTGGGGAGAAAMACCTACCGATTCTTYGACACAACTGTGACTATTGAAGTAGTGGGTATGTTGCCAGTTTGCACCGAAACAAACTGTAAATAAATACWGTACAGTGTACATATTCACATTTCCTCTTGCAGGCCGTCCAAATGATCCAGAAATTACCATCACTGGTGAAAGGAAGATTGGCAAGACGGTAACGGTGCAATGCTCTGCAGATCACACATGCTTCATGAAGTCCCCGACCCTGAGTTTAAACATCCCACTTCAAAACTCCCATCAAAAAGAAACCGACCTTGGTGGTGGYAGATACAGAGTCACTCTAACAACAACCTTGACCCTAAMGGAACAATACCAAACAATAGAATGCACTGTCCGACACCACGGTGGTCAAACAGCAAACGYTTTGAGAAYCATAGATGCTCAATGTATGTAATGACTGATAAGAATAGTTTTATTTTACCTTTGCACTGTACTAATCATCTGTTCACTGTTTAAACCTTAGGCTCCRTTTTACCATTAAGCATCAGTCCTTCATCGACTGAATTTCTTGAAGGAATTGCAACAAAGGTAACCTGCACTGCCTTATACACTTGCCCTCAACACACACCCACTCTCACATGGAACTTTGCTGGCATGCCAGCTTCCACAAATACTGACAAAGTATCAGGGCAGGCTCAGTGGAAAACTGTTTCCACACTGACATTTACATCAACCGCTAAAGACCACGGAAAACAGCTAACATGTATCGCCCAGTCCTCTGAAGGACGGACCGACACAAGCATCCCCATAAAGGTGAAAAGTAAGTGACAATTCGTTTTCTATCTCTGTTTCTTCTGCATTAATGAGAAATCATGCACATACTGTATATACAGCTGTGCAAATATTTTAAACCACTCTTTTTTAAAAAATACTCGTTTTCACTACTAG